AGCTGGATAGGGCAACAATCCATCAGGTGGTGACCAAGAACTTAACTAAGGTGTCAACAGTAGAGATGTAAAAGACACGCCAGAGGAGAATTTCAACAAGCTCTCAACTGATTGCCGAGGACTAGGAAGCGTCAGGAAGGAACACAGAAAGTAATTCCCAGGTTTCCAGCCGGGGTGATGAAGAGAATGGGGCTCCAATAACAAGAATAGGGACAGCACACAAGGAAGCTGGTTTGTGGACAAATGATACAAAGGTGGACTTTGGACATAGAGGTGACAGCACTAGGTGACACTTATATGAACACGTGTTATAGCAAATGCAAGGTGGCAGGCTGGAACTTAAGATGGATTGGTACCCAGGAGGTAGCAAGGAGGCAGGTACATGGACATTACCCTTGGATCCAAGAGATGCAGTGTAGAGATGTGGTTAGGGGCTCAGATTCCAGGTTGCATTCTCTCTTAGTAGCCACCTGACTTAAGTGACTTAACTCTTGGGCCTTCTTATCCTTGTTCATAAAAAAAGAATAATGCCACCACTCACCTCCTAGAAGAGCTAAGAATATTAAGTGTGATAAGGAACACAAAACCCATAACACAGTAGCTGGTGCACAGGAGCACTCCATGTGATAGCAACTACCAGGCATGGTAACAGCAAAGACCCAGAGACAAAAAATAAGATCCACGAAAAACCTAAAAACACTTATTATAGGGGGCTGGGGGTAAAGAGAGACTCTAATGTACTGCAGAAGCCAACTGCAGATGGTACAAGTGACCAATGCCACGTGTTTCAGAGAGGCTGAGCCCTGGGCAGATTGGTGGCTTGTCCCATTAGATCACTGGCAGCCTTAGAGTGAGCCATACCAGTAGAGAAGGGGAGGTCCAGCCAGACATACCCCTCTAATCTATTACTCTCCCTCTTCCCCTTTCCCACCCACCTAGCAATGGGGTAAGGGTGCCTCAAGACAGATTTCTGGGAATGAACCATACTTGGGCTTAGCTTAAAAGGAACAAGCAATCAGCCAGCCCCAACGTAGAAAAGCCTGAACTGCTTCCAAGGCAGACATACAGAACTTTTTTTTTTTCAATCAAATCTGGAAAAGCACAAAACTCAAATGAGAGATGGCCAGTGTACACATCGAGCCCTCAAATCAGCATTTTCAAGAATGTCAGCCCCTTCTCTCCGCCACATTCTCATGCCAGACTTCACATCTCCTATCTTGCTATTTGCCAATTTTTGAAGGAAGCAGCTGCATACAGCTTCACCAAGATAGGGGCTGGAGAGTTAGGGAGGAAGAGGGATGGCTGGATGCAGATACATATTTATAATTTATCAATTAACCTCTCCCTTCACTCCCGAATAGCTAATCCAATTTGAGCTGGCGAGCCAGGTTCTCTGGGCTCAAATCTCTGACAGCTCTAGTTAGGAATGGATGAGTGAGCTGTGCTACCCAAAGGTGTGACGCACTGAACAGCATGTCAGAGCTCCACAGCAAGCCCACCCGCTCAGGGCTGCTCCTTTTCCCTGCCCACCTGGCAAAGGCTGACTTTGTATATTAAAATTCTCCTTCCTTCTTACAATGTAATGCATTTATATTCCTAGATTCTTCCACACACACCAGTCCCATCCTTCTTAGCCTATCGCCTGCCATCAAAAAAAATTCTAACTCCCACATAATACAGGGAATACAACACCAGAGGAAAAATAGAGCAATAAACAAGTAATCCCCAAATTCCACCCTAAATAAAAATTCAGGCAAGTTGCCAACCCTCTATTCTTTCTCATCGATCATCCTTCCTTCACCAATGTTACCCCCCAATTTGGCTATTCCTAAATAATGGCAACAATAGCTCACCAATTCACACCTCCCCTGATCTCTCAATATGCTTTACTCCTTAGAGGGGATCTTAGAATGCCCTCCACACTGCATGAACATTTCCAGAACCGCACCACCCCATTCCTGCTAGAACCAATTTGACATCATACATAAGGTTCATCCTGGATTTAGAGGGAAGCAAGCTAACTCAATCACCCCCAAGCACTGAATACCAAGTGCATCAAAGGTAAATGGCAGCATTGGCTTTTTTTTTTTTTAAGTTTTTGTTAAAAGCACTAGATTCTAATCTGGACTGTATTCATCAGAATCGAAAATTCCCCTTATATACACGAATAATTCAGAAGGCAGATTGATCATTGTAATGATAAAAAATAAAGTGACCTCTACCTTTACTTCTACCTACAGAAATGAAGTAGAAGGTCCAGTTAAGAGAAGAAGCAGGGTGTCCACCATAGAGACGGCGAGAGAGAGTAAAAGAAAGGAAAGTAACATCAGCACATGGCAGACCCACACAGAGACACAACACACATAACAAATCTACCACAGACAGCAAAGGCAATAGCATGGCAACATCCCCAGAAGGCAGCACAAAACTAACGCACAATGGGAAGCTCAAACAAGCGGTAACATTGACAGCAAGGCTGCTTCCATTGTACGTAAGCTTCATCCCATTCATTTCTTCTTAGTCCCATCCTCAGGAACATGACAGTCTGCATGCAAGAGCACTGCACAGCTACATGTATGTGAAATTGCACACTTAATGGATTTAATGATAATCAGGGAACATCTCAGAGAAGTGAGGTTCTCTTATATTTTCCCAGCATTAATATGGTCATGAGAACCAAGAGTATAACATACATGGACAGGTGATGCACATAGAGCATACATAAATATTCACACACATATTCAAGGACATCAAAAACAAATTCTGGAGATCCAGTAGGAGCCAGACAAAGCCACTTTCACGGGAAGGAATACAGAGAAGGTAAGGAGTATCAGTAGAAAGAAGAGGGTTAGCATTGGGGTCATTATCAGAGGGTGAGAATGGACAAGGAGTTGGGGAATGGAACAGGAGAGGAAGAAGAGTGCAGTCAAAGGATCCTATTAAAAAACAGATTACGCTGCAAGTGGCAACTTAACATCTTAGTGGCACCAGTCACCCAGAAGAATTCTGCATCCTTTCTTGAAAACATCTCTAAAGAGGAATTTGCCACATTCATGTTTGAAATCATTTCTTTCCCTTTTTCTAGAAGGTAACTCATTTCTTCCCCTGGAGCATGGTTACATTTGAATGCTCTACTAATATGCATTGGAGTACAAGATAAGGTATAAAAAAATGGCTCTCTAAAAACTTTTCATACCAATATTGGGATTTAGCCTTCCTGTGCTGCATCAGTGTGTCTGAAAAGAGCTAAATCAAGATCAAGGAAGTCCCCATTGGCCCATCCCATCTGCCATACTTTGCTCTATGACATCAGCCATCTGATGCACTTGATACTCCAAGCCACTGTACAAGCTGGGAGAACTGAAGGGCAGCCAGAAGCATAAGACTAGACAACCCAAAAGGAGCCACTGTCATCAGGACTCTGAGGGCCTGCTCTTTTGGGTATTACTAGTCACCAAAGTTGGGCCATCCAATTTCTGCAATTCGTAGAACTCAGTTCCTTTCTCCTCTTAGAGAAGTGTGTAATACTCACCAATATCCAGACACTATGTGGACAGGGAGAACATGCCCTCACACCCACTTCATAGCTACTTGCCATTTGAACCTGCATTCCTCACTCCCACAACAACGAAAGACAGGCTGCATCCCAGCCTCTTCCAGAGCCAAGGCTAAAACTGGGGGACTCATCTGACCCCTCTCTTTGATATTTGCTCTCTACCAATCCATCTCTTCATTGCAATTTCTGGAGATCACATCATGGACGTCAGGTCTGGAGGATATACTTATATTAGAAAAGTGGGCTTCCTCCTTAATCTGCCGTAATTCAGGATGCCTTTCACCTGCCCACCTCCACAAAATGTCTTCTTCTAACCCTGGGTGGTTCCTTGATCTGATCATACTTCCCTTTATGGGAAAATATTCTGATGGAGCCAATGGAAGGGACCAGGGGAAGGGAAGTGCTACCAGTGCTGCCCTTCCCCCCTCAAAAGACCAAGAAAAGCAGGGATGTTTGGAAGTACCCATCCTTCTTTTCTTTAGTTCTTCATGCAAGAGAAGCATGTGAATTTTGGGGGGGAAAACAGACAATAAAAATTAAAGTGCAGTCTTTTGGTGACAGGGCAAGGCAGGTAGACCAATCTTGCAATCACCCCAGTACTCGGAGGAAGCCCAATAGTAGCAATCGAACAATGAAAGAAAAGACAATTTTAAGTAGGATCAGTTCTCAAATCCTGACTTGGGCTGATAATGTGGAAAATTTTGATTTAGGAGAAAAACACTTCGTTCACAGTCCACCCCATGCTTAGCTGAGCTGAATTTCCTGCACAGTTCATTCCCTGCATATTTGAATATTTTAGGTTACAGATGCTGAATTTACAGATCTTTATATGCAGTTTTCTTCAGGGTGTATAATGAGTTAGAATTCTGCCATGAGGACATTAGCATGTTCTTTCAGTGATTTTTGCTTTTATATCAAACTGAAAACAGTCAAACCCTCAAGGGCTTCCTTTGACCAGGGAAGAATGTCGTTAAGATGGGCAATGGAATGGAGGGCAAGACAAAAGCAAGCCTTTACCCAGAGTGAAACTCAGGGAGAAGCCCAGCTCCTCTCCCCCAACCTGGGGCCCAGCCGGGCCCGAGGAGGAGCAGGAGGAAGTTAACCGCCTGGTTGCTCTGAAATTAGCTCCGTTCACCCCCATTATCGACGGTCATGCCTTGTTTCATGCTTGCCTCTTGGAGGCAGCCCAGCAGGGCCAGCGCCCAGGATGACAAATGGCAGTGGAGAATGGAGAAGCCAGGGGAGAGTGGGGGTGGGGCATCATGATGCATCAGGAAAGGTGCCCCTCACACACAGCAGGGTGGCCCTACTGCCAGCCTGGTCCACAGCAGGAGGGACAGGCAGCTAACAGCCTGCCAGCAAGGAGGAGGCTCTGAGTGACCAGCCAGAGGCACAAAGGCAAGCAGTTCAGGCAGCTGCAGGACCACAGGCACAGAGCACCTACCTTGTTCACTCATCATGAGGTGGGAGAGGCCTGGAGGAAGTAGAAGGGGGGAGAGAGAGGAGGAGGGGGAAAGGGAAGGAAAAAAGAAAGAAGACAAAGTTAAAATCCCAAATGCAATGCCATCGTAATTCTTGGGTGGCAAGAGGTGTGGTAAGGCACATGAACACACTGGAGCATGCAACAAACCAACACCCCAGCCTTCCTGCTTCAGGGCAGAAGGCTGGCTCTTACCCTCTCCAAGACAGTCTTTACTTGTTCAAACTGTAATGGGCCTAATAAGGCCAACCTTCCTTTTACCATTGTTCTATGCAATACATAGGATTTATGATAAATATAGTAAGACCAGGTCCCTGGGAAGGCAACTCACAACCCCAGGTAAAGTAGGTTTCTTCCTTTCTTTCAAATTACTTGGAATAGTAATACATGGTCACTGTAGAAACTTGGAGAAATTCAGACAAATAAAGAGGAAAAAAACAAGCATTTGAATTCCTATTATCCAAACATTACCATCAACTCTTTTTCTAATATAATGTTGTTTTCTGCATAAATTTAATCCTATTGAACATGCCAGATATGCACCTGCTTGCAAGAGATGCCCAGACAACCTAAAACCGATTCTCGGTATTACCATTTCGCCTAATACTACCTTCTCTTATCATTTCCCGACTTTGCTCCATACCCTCTCCTCTACTTTTCCTCCACTTTTTGTTTGTTTGTTCGTTTGTTTTCCTAGAAAGTTCCACACATTTATCAGGAAGACCCAGTTCACCACTGAATAGGTTAAAAAAAATGTACAAAAAGTCACAATAAACAAAAAAACAGAATCTCTGGCCACATTCTTATGCAAAGTAAACAAGGTTATTAAGAACCCCTTCCTTCAAGGGAAACATAAGCTCTGATAATTTTTTTAAAAGATTCGCCACCATTAACCTACTATGCCAGTCATCTGCTCTTGTATTGCTTTTATTATTACTGGAGATGTTTGACCGAATCCAGATCACCCCAGAGAACCTTTACTTGCAGCAAAATTCAGGGATCTAGGGGATTAATAAAGGAGAAAAAAAAAAAAAACTCTGAATTATGAAAATCTCTAAATGTTTTTGGAGATTACTAGAGATTTACAAAAGTAATCAGAGGCAAAATATAGGTCAAACAACTGACTTTTAAAAGATCAGAGATATATTAAATACATAGATACATGTGCCCCAAATGTCATGGAGTCTATTTTTTTAAACAAATTTCATTAAACCACAATCATATTGTAAATGCACAGTTCTGGCCTTCATTGCTATAGGACTGGAATCAGTACTTACGGAAGAACAGAACTGTGCCAAAGCAAGTCATTGTAATGATTTGTTTTGTTAAAAAAAAAATAATAAGTTTAATTTGGGGGGGGGGGGGGTGAGTGGGTAGTAAGATAGTAAGGAGAGAGGATGGGAAACCTTCACAGAAATAACTACAGTGCCTGATATTTCTGCACAGAGTCACAGCCTTCAGCATCCCTATCAAGAGCACAGAGGGAAGGGATGAGGTCAGGCAGGTGCAGTGTCTGGAAAGGGGAATGTATGAATTTAGTAGGTGACCATTCACAAGAGCCTTGTCAGCTTTAAGAAATGGGAAAAGGAAAGATCCAAAAAAATTCCTAAGAGTAAAACTGGGGTTTGTTGCTGTTGTTGTTGTTGTTGTTGGATTAAAAAGCAACCATTTTCTAGCTGAGATTAAAGATACATGGCAACTACAGGACAGTAAGTAGAAAAGAGCTGAAGAGTCTACTTGACCCAAACAAACATTTTTACAATTTTCCAAAATGAAGGATAAGCGTCTTGCTTGATAGTAAGGGGTCCTCGGACCCTGGGAAACCTCTCCAGTTGGGTTTCAACTTCTGTATGTTTCACTAGTGACCTGTGAAATGCTTGAAAAAAAAAAGATGCTGGACTCTACCCCAGACATAATGAATTTGAATCTTGGGGAGGAGTAGGAGCCAGAACTGAATGGTATATAAGTTGCCCAAGTGGTTCCCAAGGTCCCTGAAACTTGAGAGCTACCTCTTGGGAATGGCATATAAATCAAATTTTGGTAAATTAAATTGTATGATAAATTCACTAAGAGGAATTGGATATTTAATGGAACCCTGCAGTGGATCCTTTTGTGAAGGGAAGAATCCTTTTAAAATGCAAATAACCTACCACCTGTGTTTTTTAAATTCGAATATGTACTTATCAGGTTTTATTAAACTACATATGTGCTTGCAGTGTTGCCACTCAAGTAAAATGTTCATCTTCTTCAACTTATAAAAGCCTTAAATAGAAATATTAAACCAGGAAAGCAAACCTGAGCACCTAAATGCCAAAACTCTGGTTTTGCAGGCAATAAAGCAAATGGACAGGAGATCAGTGTGACAGGAAGCCGGATGGGGGAGGGGGTGGCCTGTGTAAGTATAACATGATTTGGATTTTATTTTTCTTTTTGTGAAGGGAATTTTATTTCACTTTCAAGAGCTTTTACATCAATCTCTTTTCTTGTGTAACCCTATCCTCATGGCTTGCAGAGTTAAGAACTGGAAACCAAGAATTCCAGAGTATTCAGGTCTATTCTGAAATTCTGTCTCCACCTGATCTTTCAAAACATCCCCTGTTGGTGCTAAAAAACCTCAGGCTTCTTAATAGTAAATGGAAAAACCAACAACCAATCAAGCAAGCAGTTCAAGTGCCTTCTACATGCAAGGGCTGGATGGGGATGGGTGGGAATGCAAGTAGGTAAAATACAGCATCTGTAACTTCTAGGAGTTCAAAGTCCAGCTGGCAAGAGGTATGTGTGTTTAGGGTTACACACACACACACATACACACGCGCGCGCGCGCGACATACACCAGCACCTCATGTGAAGCACAGGGATTAACAGTAAGGACTCCTGAAATAGATTTAAATTTCATCTCTGCTACTTTCTAGCTTGTAACCCTAGGAAAGTTCCTAAACTTTTTTGGGCTTGGATTTTTTCCTATTTATAAAATATGGATAATATTGTCTACTTCATACATTGTTTTGAGGAGGAAATATATAATGTAAATCTTATGTTCTGGAAGTGTACTAATATGTGAGGCAAAATGATTATGGTGCCTGACACACAGTAGGTGTTCTGTGTGTGCTTGGTGGTTGAGTGAGAAATGAATAGGGAATTGCTAAGTATCAAGGAGCCAGACAATTAGGCAAAGAAGGACTAACAGGGGCATGCTGGGTGCTCAGAAAATAGGCCTTGGAAGATGCTTTAAGATTTAGAGAGTTGGTGAACAGTCCAGACAGCACCACCAGCTTCCAAGACCAAGAAGCACATTTGTAAGAGCTTTCCTGTTTACCTTTTCAGAAATAACTAGGGTGGTACCAAGCACATGGAAGTGCTATCAATGATAAAGCAACAAACACATGCTATACAGAAAAAGGAATGAATATGTATAAAGAGCTCATATAAAGAAGGAGTGAAAGATTGTCCTAGGGATCAGAGTATGGAGGCCCAGGGTTTCAAGGTTAAGTAAGATGGACTTGATCTTGCAGCTGTTGGAAGAAACTGAGGGTTCATGGGCAAAAGCAGGACCCAGGAAAACTGATGTCCAGGAAGATTGCTTTTGCAATAATATGGATAGGATGGATTCGATGGAAAGAGATGAAGGCAGAAAGATCAGTCATGGACAAAGGACCCAAATGAGTATCATGGCAGCAGGAAAGAAAAGGGGAAAAGAGGATTCGCTGGCTTTGATGATGGATGAGATACATCAGGGGAGGGATGGATGGGAGAGAGCAGGAAGCAAAGTCAGAAATAGGAAGTGGGTGAGGTGGGATAGGAGGTGGATTAGGAGTGAGGACAGAGTGGGTTCTGTTTCAGGCATGATGAGCTGAAGAGAGAGAAGGATCACTCAAGCAAAAATGCCCAATGAGAATTTAACACTGTAGGACTATGGAAAGAGAGGAACTCAGGATGAACATAAGGACTTAGTATAACCCCTTCATGGAAGAGAGCACCCTCAGGGTAAAAAGTGAAAGAAAGACCCTCTGAGGAAAGGGTCTGCCGCTGAGTTGTAACCTGGGATGGAGGTGGGGTTACTGAGATTAGTAGAAGTTCATCTTTTTTCCACGTATACTTAACATTGAAATATAAAAAAATATTTTTTTATTTTAAAAAGAAAATGAAACTCTATGACTTTGCAACATAAGATTAGAAAATAATGTTCAAAGTATCTTAAAAACTGAGTAGGACATAATTAGCAAGAAAGGAAGGAGAATCTCTGCTGGATGTGTTCTGTGTGTGTTTGACAAGGAAGGAGTTAAAAATGAAGATAGACCTTCCTGACAACCTCAGTAGCAGAGGGTCAAAATGGGTGCACATCAGCAGTGGCTCCCCAGGCCACACTGCCAGCCCTAGGACTATCACCTACCTGGTTCGAAGTTTGCATTTATTCTGGGACTGGTATTTCAGGGCTGCCAAAAGATAAGGGCTGGGCTGGACTCGGGGCTCATGGAACCAAAAACAATTCTAAAACAATTTTGCCAGAAGCTCTGGATTTGAACAGATCCTCAACTATGACTCAAAATTCAGATCCATAGAAGTTCACCTAAGAGTAGGTAGGAAACAGAAGTTGGGCTCAGATGACCTTTTGAGAGCCAAGCAATCATGAATTCTAGCAAGGCACAGTGGTGCATGCCTGTAATCGCAGCAGCGTGGGAGGCTAAGGCAGGAGGATCACAAGTTCAAAGCCAGCCTCAGCAAAAGTGAGATGCTAAGCAACTCAGTGAGACCTTGTCTCTAAATAAAATACAAAATAGGGCTGGGGATGTGGCTCAGTGGTTGAGTGTCCCTGAGTTCAATCCCCAGTACCCAATTAAAAAAAAGAATTCTATCTGATGTCACACCTTGATAAAGTACTACCCTTGCTGGATCCAGGGACCATTCTGGATCCCAACAGGGGTCTGATTCTTAAACCTTCCCTCCTCCCTTTCTACTGCTCTATTCCATCTTTCATGGTACACAGATTCCCAGAG